CAAAGGGGCAAGGGTTAAGTAAACAGGTGGTGGTACATACCTATCCAAGCACCTTGTCCACATCATCAGGTCGCAATAAATGAAATTCATCCAATAATATCTGACCAGATGGATACAATGGCACCTCCCCTAGAGGATCTGAATCACTAGTGGAGTCCAGCTTGTGACGAATCTGAGCGATTTTCTCCTTAAAGTGCTGGGCACAGTCATCACAGCGGGCCATCGAGGGTGGTACAAGATCCTTCTTAGGGCCTGGAAGCACCAGCCCCTGTACCATCCGAAAGGAGGCAATGGAAGTGGAGAAGAATTTCTTCTTCACCGCCCTCACCGCCACGGCATAGGCCCGATAATGAGCTCCTGTGTTCGGTCAGATTCATCCCGTGATTTCCTCCACCTACGCTCTAGATGTCTCCCAACCCACTTCATTGCCCATAATTCAGGTGTATACCAAGGGGATGAACGGGCTCTGCCAGATGGGAGAGGACGCTTAGGAGCGATTGTGTCAATAGCTCTGGTCATTTCCCCATTCCACAGTTCGAACAGAGCATCAACAGGAGCGTCAGCTTTATCAACCGGAAACTCCCCCAGAGCTTTCAGGAATCCATCCGGATCCATCCAGCTCTGAGGGCAGACCAACACAATAGGGTCTGCACCCTTACAGAGGGAAAGGCCGGCATCGAGCTCAAACCTCACCAGGAAGTGATCTGACCACGACAGGGGAGTCAGACATAAATTCCTCACCCTCAGATCACCCTCTTCCTGCCCCTTTGAGAAAACCAGTTTCTCAGTGTGGCTCTTAAAAGAATCTGCTTCGGTACAACTAGCATTTTGCCCAGGGAGCAAAATAACTCTCAGAGGCCACATTTGCTTATTGGTAACAGAAAAGCAAAAAGCGAACAACAAAAACAGAAGCAAGTTCATTCTGCATGCGTGCATCCACATGGACCCAACATGGCACCCTTCCACACACGAGGGAGAGCAAGACCGGCTGGCTTGGCGCACAGAAGCATAAAAGGCTTTTGCAAGAGGAGTGGGGTGAGGGGCTGGAACCACCCGAAGCAGCCCAGTAAGGACTGAGCGTGCTTGGTGGCTCAGCTGCTGGGAGGACTGGAAGCCAGGGGGTGGAATTTGAAGGGGCTGATGAGCCCACTGGGGTGCAAGTCCCTGATCAGCGCAGGACTCCAGGTTAAACCATCCATGTCCCGCAGGCCTTAAACGCTATAATCTTACACCTTTCTTGGGGAGAAACGGTTTATCCTCTTTGGTGAAGACAGGACCATCCATTCTTATGTGGGGCTTTCCTTTTGGGAGAGGCTGTGGCAGAGCCTGCCCTGGCCTGAGGTTCAGAGGACAGCTCCAGGTGTGGCGGGATGGATGGGAGAAGGCAGGAATCGGTCTCTGGACAGCACAGCAATGCTTTCTAAAATGCTGCCCTGAGCACAGCGAGGGGATACCGCTTGGGCTCTGCCTCGGGTGGTTCTCAAGACGGCCACTGCCCATCTGCATTCTGTGCAGGCACAAGCACCGAGTGCTCGCAGCAGCGCTAGGAGGACTTGGCTTTGGGGCAGAAGTCCCACTTAGCCGAACGAACAGCAGAGACCCCAAACGTGGCAGGGAGGGCTTATTACATTGTGTTGTGGAGTGATACACACGTCCTTCTAAAGAAGGGGGCCTCCAGTAACACCACTAAGTCCAGAGCCTACAATGACCCAAGTGGTGATGCCACTCAAGCGAATGCCAAGTCCCTTTCTGCCACAGCTGAGAATGCACCTCACAGCCACCCTAACTTCTGTTTCCTATTGTACGCTGCTTAGTTTTATATTGTCTGATGCAGCCTTCCCCAACTTTGTGCCCTCCAGATGTTTTAGACTATGCCTCCTCTCAGCCCCAACCAGTGTAGCCCAAGATGAAGGATGAGAAGAGCTGTAGTTCAAAACATCTGGAGGACACAGGGTGGGTAAGGCTGGCCTAGGACGTATCAACCCTCTTTTACTCAGCAAAGGACAGAATTAATGGGGGAGGCAGCACCAGCTCCTCTAGCACTCTGTTTGCCATGCTGCTGTCCATCATACAGATGCAGAGAAAACAAAAGGTCCATGAGAAATGAGAGGAGGAGCATCAGCCGAAGCAAGACAGACGTGCTTCAGGCTAAATCATGAGCCAGGCCAGTTTAGATCTTCTCACGAATCTACACTCTGGGAAGTACAGATGTTCTAGGCTGCTGCTCCCCACCCCCTCTCACAGAACCTCTGACTTGCCTATGCACAATCTGACAGAGTAGCTCCTTCTTCCGTAGGGTTGCTGGCATGAGCCTGTATGCAACATGTTCATGCAGAGCCCTCCCTAACACCGCAGCACTTGCAGCGCTCCGGATAGCATCCCTTCCCCATTATTTCCAAGATGCCACCCTGCACAGAAGACACTCAGCCTTTTTCAAGAGTGTGCTTGGAGCACTTAACTTTGCGATCCTCCAACAGCTGCCAAATCTCTTTTAAGCCCATGGTGCTCACTTCAAGAGGGCTTGCATCTGTGGACTTCTTTGAGGATCGATCCGTCCAAGAGGAAAGTGACTAAGGAAATCTTTTAATTATTGGAGGCCTAAAGAACAAATGGGGAAACGGGAATGATCCTATTCCTTTGTATCTTTCCCCCACTTCGGTCTAAACTCCAGAGGATTATCCCTTTTCATGTTTTTTGTGAAATCTGACATTGTGTTTAGATGGTGAACTCCTGTAACAGCTTCTCAATGTCACCTGCTGAAACTCTCGGGAGAGATCTTTTAAAGTCATTTGTTTGCACAGTTTGTCTTGCTTTTTGTCAAAGGCAGATGACATTTCATACATGCATATTTTGCTTTGATGATCTAAATTCGCTATTACAACAAGGAGCTCACTGCACATTTGGAAGGGATGACTCGGTACTGATTACCATAAAGAACGGGCATATACACACTAACAGAGGAGCAATCAGAACAGAGCCCTGCTCCCTCCCCACACCAAACTTCCTGGAAATATATTTTCTACCAACTCAGTGTAAGCACAGGATGTAGGAGGCCACAGCAGGAACTTAGAGGAACAAACACACAGAAGGGCCCAGGAGCTGATGGCTAGTTTCAGGGCTGTGTCCAGGGAAGAGCTCCAAGCACAACTGAACATCTTGATAGCTTTGACGGCCAAGGCTTTATTTGCAGGAAACCTTTCAAGGAGGGGATGGACCTGCCGTGCAGTGGGGAAGGTGTGGACCTCATCTGCCTTGCAGGTGCATTGCTGTGTGCGCCGGCTGGGAGACAGGCACACACACGTGGGCCTCCAAAGATCTGTGGACTGCAGCTCTCCAGCGGCCACGGTGGCTAGGGCTGATGGCAGTTTCAGTCCAGCAACAACGGGAGGTCCACACCTTCCCCATCCATGCATTAGAAGAAGGCGTTAAAGTGTTGTCTGAGCCAAGCGTCAAGGCGATGATGACAATGTAGCTGCTGCAGCAGTTTCCCAGCACTGTTTGGGCACATTGCAGGAGTATCTTTTATAGCCCTCTTCAAAGGCAGCAAACTTTTTAGAGTTCTACTATAGTATAGACTTGTGTGTGCAAGTAAATTTTCTCTCTCTCTTTCTGGCACATGCACACACACAGTTTTCACTTCAGGCAGCAGAATGTCTTCAGCTAGCACTGTTTTTAAAATAGGACTAACTAGGAGTCCTGTGCTTCATGTCTGCTCCATTAGAATGCGACTGCCCCTTGCCCAAAACCAAGGCCCAGTATTAAGCAGGGGGGTGGGGTGGACTTCCACATATGGCAGAGCTTTGCTGAGGAGAGGTTAGCAAACCATCTTAGTTTCGTACGAACACAAGAGCCACCATGCTGGACCAGACCAGAAGTCCATCCAGTCCAGCACTCTGTACCTCCGGTGGCAAGCCAGCTGCCCATGGGGTCCCTCAAGCAGGATGGGTGGCAGACCAATCTCCTCCGCAACTGGTGTGTGCAGGCAGGCAGGCCACCTCTGCTGAAGAAGGGAGCACCCAGCCAGCCAGGCTAGCAGCCACCGAGAGCCTCCTCCTCCCGGAGTCTGTCCAGCCCCCTTTGAAAGCTACCCAGAAGGGCAGCCATTACCACTTCTGGTGGCAGTGAATTCCATAATTCCATGCGCTGTGCAAAAAAGTGTTTCCTTTTACCTTTTCCAAACCTCCCATCATTTATATTATTATATTTTATCTACTTCTTATAATTACCCCTTTCTTGTAGTACAATTTCAGCAAAACAAAGGAAGGGGAAAAGCAACAGTGTGGCCACAAAGATGCAATTTCAATTTCAATCCGTATTTTTACCACCACGAGGGCAGAATCAGCACTAAGATGTTTTGTCTCAGGTTTTCTCTTGGCACATCTTGGTGGAGAAGTGGGACTACGGGGTGGGGTGATTGGGAGGCAACACCACACAGTCCTTGCTAAAAGAGGCCAGAGTTAGTTTTGGGAGCGGGGTGGTGGTGGGGAGGCTTCCTCGGTGTTCCTGGGGACAAAAGAGTTGCAGGGATGCGTCTGTCACACACCCCTTTTCTCCTTTGTATTGCGGGGCTGAAGCCTGGCTGCCTGGCAACATATGAGCAAGCCTTGGAAAGTGGGAAGCGGAGTCAGGAAATAATCGATTTAATGGAAATTGATCACACACATCCCTTCAGCACAGAATTAAGGACAGGTATAATTTGAGCAACTTAGCCTGAGACTCCAAGGAAGATGTTGTAGCTACCTTCCTTACCATTCATGAATGTCAGAGTCCCATGGATGGGACTAGCAGTTCCAAAAAGGAGCTACATTTCCTTACAGCACCTAAATCTTATAACTACATATAATTATGATGTTTTAGAAAATGGGAGAGCGGGGGATGACTGTTAGGGTGCTTCATTATAGCACCCAGGAGATTTCAAGCCTTTCTATTTTGCTCAAGAAAACTTCTGGTCTGTTGTTTTTGTGTTAATTACTTCCTTCGGATAGTTGTAACATACTCACTTGATGAAGTATTTGATTCCATCTGCGGTGTATGCTTCTTCCCATCCATAAGGCAGACCTAGGAAAATTGTGCAAGGGAGTAAGAGAGGATAAAAACCAAGAAAAACATGCCATGAGTCACTCACAATTTTTCAAACACAATGAATGCACATTTTGGAATCACAGCCCTTAAAGGTATAGAGTTCCATTTAAAAAATTACCAGTAAATCAACAATATTTTACTCACATTTTTCAACCATGCTCAAACTGACCTCCATGCTTTACTAAACTGGCATCCATGGTGACTTTCTTCAACACTCATAATTACTGCCCCATCAGCAAAATTTCTGATATGATCAAAATTACACATGCAATCGTTCACATAACTGCATATTAAACAGCCAGGCATTGGCATATACAGAAATGAGCAGAAAATGCATGATTCTGCCCATTATTTCCAAATCAGGCACTTGCTGAAAGCAATGCTTGTAAGGATAAAACTGTAAGCATTCCCTGAAGAGTTAAAGGACTGCTTCCTAAACATATCAAAGATTGGAGCTATGGTTAAAGAAATGTGAAACAGATGGCAACAATATGAATTCTGTACATTTGTATCTAGCATCCTTAAGATATTGAGGGCTATAAACTTATACTGTGCTTCCTTTTTGTTTAAAGGGGACTGGGGCAGAGAATTGCTTGAGTTAATTTTGTGTTGCGCAAAGACCTTTTGTCTGTCTGCTCATCAGACTTCAGGAATGCGGGTGTTTGCAGGAATGTAACGAACATCTGTTTGCTCTCCCAGGATTGCTCATGGTTTGATAGACCTAACCGCTCCCCATGCTGTCTCCCTCTCTAAATTTACTTTGGATTCCTAGTTCTTCTGTGAAATATGTGTGTAGGCATGCCACTTACATACCCATGCCTGGAAAGAGCTCAAATGTATAGTCCAGATGTGCCCAAGACCTAATTCTGGGTGATGTGCTTCCAAAAAATGCAGGTCTGGGCAAGGTTTGTTCACTGTGACCGACCGTCCACTTGCTTGCATGTATCCTCTGGCCCCCGGCTGAGGGAACGAGGGAGACAAGCTGGGCCACTGCTCCTTCCTGCCAAGCCTCACTTGCTCGCTCACGCCGAGAAGGCAGCCAGACAGGCTGTGACAAGAAGGAAGAAGAGCAGCAGCGCAAAGGGACTCGGAGGGCTGGCAGCAGCTGGGATGTGCGGCTTGGCCTGTGCCTGGTTCTGCTACCTCTGGCCCTGGCAATGCTCCCAAGGCTAGGATGGGAACCGGAAGCACCTAACTCAGCCCGTTTGCCTGCAGACAGCACTGAATCTCCTCCTGCACTGAATAAGAAGTTAGGAAATTGCTCATCGTGCTACACTCATGCACTTACGTGTTTTATTTGATGTACACAGATGCAGACCTTGACTTCTTGAGAGCTTGCTATTCATTCGGTAGAATACTACATTTACAGACTGGCAGCTTATACAAAGCATGTGAACAGCAAACAATGCTCTTCCCTTGTTTTGCTGTTAGTCTCCACCCTGAAAAGCGGCTCTGAAAGCCTCTGCAGGCTCCTGGTTCTGAAGCACACGACGCAGGAAGAGGTACAAGTGCAGAGCGTAATTTCTAGGTTTGTGCCCCAGTGTCAATTTCAAAAGAGAATTTGCCGTAATTTATTCCAACCCTGATGGATTGCCTGTCTGCAGAAAGGAGCTTGATTTCACTGGGCAATTGCTGGGGACTGTAATCAGCCAAGCAATGCAGATACTTTCAAGGAAGTTAGCTTAGAGTAGAAAAGGGATGCAAACCACGGCTTTAAAGAAAATGCAAGCGTGTTCAAGCTTAGGTGCTTTCAGTGCCCATGCATGATGGGATGGGACGAGGGCCAGAGAGTGGAAGACTCTACTTGCCAGTGGGAGACATCACCACCAAGCAGAGGCAGGGCAGGGCAAGGCACGGCACGGCAATCTCCACAAAATGTGCTGTAAGCAGTCCCTTCTAAGCCAGGAGCAGTTTCCTAGTTCTCTGCCATCTCCACAGGGCCTGGCCCGGCATTCTCACTGAGAGTTACCAGTACAATCTGGGGCAAGAGTCACAGATGGTTGTGAACTGCTGTGGAACTTCCAAGCATTCTCCTCCCCTGCTGACAGTATTCAGCAAATGAGACTGGTGTTCTATGCACATTCCCCCAGGCTCTGCTGAAACAACTGAGCTTACTTCTGAGAAGGTATACGTAGGATTGCACGGTGAAAGCACATTACAGTGTTAAGTTGTTGGTGTGGAATCGAGGAGGAGTTGTGCAACTGGCGCCTGGCTGACTGCCCCTACTAAGCCTCTGAACAAGCTGAGATCTAGCCTTTCTCAGTTGAAGAAGAAGCCAAATAAGAAAATAACCCTAAACAATAAGCAATAATCCCGTGCTGGCGTAGATCCCTCTTTCGTGCTCCTCTCAAGGCTGCACCCAGGGCAAACGGTCTATGTTACTGTCTTGCCACTCTGGCTCCCCACTGCCACTCCTTGCCCTGGCTCATGTGGGCAGGTCCATCGCCTGCTGACCGTACTGCCAAGCAGTGACTCACTGGCCTGAAGGAGTTCTGCCATGTCAAACGCTTCTCCTCTCATCTCAAGCAGAGCGATTTTCAACAAGGCAATGCAGGCGTTCTGCTCAGACCCGCCAAGGGTCAAGGAAATCAAGCGAAGGGGGAAGACTGAAGGATGGAGATGGAGGGGCCAGGCTGGGTGGAGTTTATCTGCTGACTCCTGCCCAAATGCTTCCTGCCTTTATAGCTCAATCTCACATCAGGCTGGATTCCCAGAGTCTGCCCTGTTCTGCCCTATGCACTCAAGTTTGGGCACTTTCGGCCCCCTTTCCTTAGTCCCAAAATAGATGCTCTTCCAGCAAGCTCCCTTAAACTACTGTAGCTTTTCAGCGGCTCTTGTGGACTTTAAGAATTTCACTGCTTGTCTGATCTGTTGATCACTGCCTTGCAATGTCATATTCTATCTAGCAGCCATATAAATATATCATATCAGCAAGCGAGCAAGTGAATACATTTGGACTGCACACCTGTGGCCAAAGTTCTGGCACTGAATTGCTTGTGGAATTGTTATATTTTCATGCTATTAATCCCCCACCTACCCACTCATAATGGATAGATTCCATCTGCTCCTAAATTCCGCCAGGGGAAAGTTGCAGTAGCTCACAGCCGTGAAGAACAGCTGCTTTCCAAGAATGTTCCTTCTCCAAGAAACTCTGCAGTTCCCCAGAAGCTTAATGGAGGTTCCAGGAAGAGAAGATCAGAAGGAGCAGCTACTTCTGAAAGGCAGCTGATTTCTTCCCATTGCTTGCCTGCTCTGCAATTATGGAGGCGGGTTTCTTAGGAAATTCTCAGAGTTCATGCCAGGCAGCGAGGAGGCCCAATAGCTTCATCAGTGCCCCACATGAACTGAGTGGGTGCCCCAAATCCTCTGCATGCCTAGGTTCAGGCAGGTGCTCAGCTACCGTGATGTGACAGTGCTTTCCGAAGGTAGACAATCTGAAAGCTGTAACTTTAGAGAAAGCCCTGCAGTCACCTAAAAGTGAGGGCTGGGCCAGGAATGCCTTTGCTGGCACAGGAAGGTGTTGCAAGCAACACAGGCACCGTTCCCATAGCTTCCTCCTGCAGTGTTATGGAAGATCTTTATACCGGCACAATATGCTTTCCCTCCATGCCGCCAACAATGCAGCTGGAAAGGAAGGAAGGAAGGAATGCAAGTGACCTCCATGCAAGGAAGTCCAGTTCCTTTCATACTTGGGAGCTCAGCTTATTGGGACCTGCATGCAGCGCAAGAGACCCAAAGCAGCTGGTGCAACAAAGGGCTGGATGGCTCCCTGTTTCTTTTCCCTCTGTGGAAACGCGAAGGGCACTCGGCTGCCCCAGTCACTGCACACACATTGGATTCCCATTTCCCACTTCAGGAAGCAGTGTGCTCCATTCCCCCCCCCCCCCAGCTGTGTTCTCCTCAACACCCAGTTGGTGGACCGGTGCTTTGGAATCCCGCGTCTTTGTTCCATTGACCCACTTGCTTCTCTGCCTGCTTGAACGGCTAATCACTGACATGTTGGCTGCCAGAAAGCTGCCTGTCCGTTTCTTCTTGGCTTGCCAATATTGATTCCATTGCTCTTGGCTGCTGCTTGGCTTTCTTGGTTGTGTTCCCCTCTCGAAAGCAGTAGGTCAGAGTTGGGCACTGAGAAAGTGCTTCTTCTGGGACCAGCGGAAGACTCTAACTTTCCTCATTATGTTTTAACATTATAGCTACATTTACATTCTCCAACATTTGTTCCTCTGTCCTGTTTAACCCAGATAACTTTCTTCGTGATTGTCTCTAAACTGTGCAATGGTCTGCCAGGAGAGACGCATCAGATATCCCAGATTGCTACTTTCAAGAGGGACTTAAAGATGTATCTCCCCCGATAGGCCTTCCCAGATTAGTTCCCAGGTTGGTTTAAGGTGCTTCTTTTTATTCAAATTTTAATCATTGTTGCAAACTGCTCCGATCCTAAAGGAATGGGGCAGAACATAAAAATCAAAATAAAATAAAAATCTATCAATCATCTATCAGCTCTCTCACATATTATATATACTCTCATAAATTATGAAATTGCACAGACTTCTTACTAGTGCATGCATTAAGGAAAAGGAGGGTTGTTCAATTTTAAAAACAATTTGATAGCACTATTCTATGCATGTCTACTTACCAGTTAGTTTCATTACATTTCATATTTTTATACAGTCCCAAAGCTGAATGTCTCTGGGCAGTTTACAAAGATTAAAACACTAAAAAAATTACAATATAATAGCATAAGTCTCAATGAATTCAAAGCGGCTTACTCCTAGGTAAGTGAGTATAAGATGAAAACCACAATTCTAGTTGTTTTGAGAATGTTGAAGCAAAATAAGAAATGGCAATTCCTATGTAACTTGTATTTATTTAGAAGCACAGCACTCTGTATCCCAAAGGCAGCCATGGCTCAATAACAGAAGATCTTCTGCCTCCCAAGTAAAATGAGGAAAGGAGATAACAGGAAGAGAAAATGT